GTGCCGTCGATAGCTCAGTTGGTAGAGCGGAGGACTGTAGAGTCGCAGCTATCCTTAGGTCGCTGGTTCGAATCCGGCTCGACGGATTGCTTTTGCAGACCACATACTTCATAGTGAAAGTTTGTGAAGAGCAAGAACAGTAGTGGAGAACATTGATTTCGCACTTGAAACGATTTTCAGGATCGATGAACGAGTAAAAGCTGTGCCGTCGATAGCTCAGTTGGTAGAGCGGAGGACTGTAGAGTCGCAGCTATCCTTAGGTCGCTGGTTCGAATCCGGCTCGACGGATTGCTTTTGCAGACCACATACTTCATAGTGAAAGTTTGCGAAGAGCAAGAACAGTAGTGGAGAACATTGATTTCGCACTTGAAACGATTTTCAGGATCGATGAACGAGTAAAAACTGTGCCGTCGATAGCTCAGTTGGTAGAGCGGAGGACTGTAGAGTCGCAGCTATCCTTAGGTCGCTGGTTCGAATCCGGCTCGACGGATTGCTTTTGCAGACCACATACTTCATAGTGAAAGTTTGTGAAGAGCAAGAACAGTAGTGGAGAACATTGATTTCGCACTTGAAACGATTTTCAGGATCGATGAACGAGTAAAAGCTGTGCCGTCGATAGCTCAGTTGGTAGAGCGGAGGACTGTAGAGTCGCAGCTATCCTTAGGTCGCTGGTTCGAATCCGGCTCGACGGATTGCTTTTGCAGACCACATACTTCATAGTGAAAGTTTGTGAAGAGCAAGAACAGTAGTGGAGAACATTGATTTCGCACTTGAAACGATTTTCAGGATCGATGAACGAGTAAAAACTGTGCCGTCGATAGCTCAGTTGGTAGAGCGGAGGACTGTAGAGTCGCAGCTATCCTTAGGTCGCTGGTTCGAATCCGGCTCGACGGATTGCTTTTGCAGACCACATACTTCATAGTGAAAGTTTGTGAAGAGCAAGAACAGTAGTGGAGAACATTGATTTCGCACTTGAAACGATTTTCAGGATCGATGAACGAGTAAAAGCTGTGCCGTCGATAGCTCAGTTGGTAGAGCGGAGGACTGTAGAGTCGCAGCTATCCTTAGGTCGCTGGTTCGAATCCGGCTCGACGGATTGCTTTTGCAGACCACATACTTCATAGTGAAAGTTTGTGAAGAGCAAGAACAGTAGTGGAGAACATTGATTTCGCACTTGAAACGATTTTCAGGATCGATGAACGAGTAAAAGCTGTGCCGTCGATAGCTCAGTTGGTAGAGCGGAGGACTGTAGAGTCGCAGCTATCCTTAGGTTGCTGGTTCGAATCCGGCTCGACGGATTGCTTCGCTTTTGCAGACCACATACTTCATAGTGAAAGTTTGTGAAGAGCAAGAACAGTAGTGGAGAACATTGATTTCGCACTTGAAACGATTTTCAGGATCGATGAACGAGTAAAAGCTGTGCCGTCGATAGCTCAGTTGGTAGAGCGGAGGACTGTAGAGTCGCAGCTATCCTTAGGTCGCTGGTTCGAATCCGGCTCGACGGATTGCTTTTGCAGACCACATACTTCATAGTGAAAGTTTGTGAAGAGCAAGAACAGTAGTGGAGAACATAGATTTCGCACTTGAAACGATTTTCAGGATCGATGAACGAGTAAAAGCTGTGCCGTCGATAGCTCAGTTGGTAGAGCGGAGGACTGTAGAGTCGCAGCTATCCTTAGGTCGCTGGTTCGAATCCGGCTCGACGGATTGCTTTTGCAGACCACATACTTCATAGTGAAAGTTTGTGAAGAGCAAGAACAGTAGTGGAGAACATTGATTTCGCACTTGAAACGATTTTCAGGATCGATGAACGAGTAAAAGCTGTGCCGTCGATAGCTCAGTTGGTAGAGCGGAGGACTGTAGAGTCGCAGCTATCCTTAGGTCGCTGGTTCGAATCCGGCTCGACGGATTGCTTTTGCAGACCACATACTTCATAGTGAAAGTTTGTGAAGAGCAAGAACAGTAGTGAGAACATTGATTTCGCACTTGAAACGATTTTCAGGATCGATGAACGAGTAAAAGCTGTGCCGTCGATAGCTCAGTTGGTAGAGCGGAGGACTGTAGAGTCGCAGCTATCCTTAGGTCGCTGGTTCGAATCCGGCTCGACGGATTGCTTTTGCAGACCACATACTTCATAGTGAAAGTTTGTGAAGAGCAAGAACAGTAGTGGAGAACATTGATTTCGCACTTGAAACGATTTTCAGGATCGATGAACGAGTAAAAGCTGTGCCGTCGATAGCTCAGTTGGTAGAGCGGAGGACTGTAGAGTCGCAGCTGTCCTTAGGTCGCTGGTTCGAATCCGGCTCGACGGATTGCTTTTGCAGACCACATACTTCATAGTGAAAGTTTGTGAAGAGCAAGAACAGTAGTGGAGAACATTGATTTCGCACTTGAAACGATTTTCAGGATCGATGAACGAGTAAAAGCTGTGCCGTCGATAGCTCAGTTGGTAGAGCGGAGGACTGTAGAGTCGCAGCTATCCTTAGGTTGCTGGTTCGAATCCGGCTCGACGGATTGCTTCGCTTTTGCAGACCACATACTTCATAGTGAAAGTTTGTGAAGAGCAAGAACAGTAGTGGAGAACATTGATTTCGCACTTGAAACGATTTTCAGGATCGATGAACGAGTAAAAGCTGTGCCGTCGATAGCTCAGTTGGTAGAGCGGAGGACTGTAGAGTCGCAGCTATCCTTAGGTCGCTGGTTCGAATCCGGCTCGACGGATTGCTTTTGCAGACCACATACTTCATAGTGAAAGTTTGTGAAGAGCAAGAACAGTAGTGGAGAACATAGATTTCGCACTTGAAACGATTTTCAGGATCGATGAACGAGTAAAAGCTGTGCCGTCGATAGCTCAGTTGGTAGAGCGGAGGACTGTAGAGTCGCAGCTATCCTTAGGTCGCTGGTTCGAATCCGGCTCGACGGATTGCTTTTGCAGACCACATACTTCATAGTGAAAGTTTGTGAAGAGCAAGAACAGTAGTGGAGAACATTGATTTCGCACTTGAAACGATTTTCAGGATCGATGAACGAGTAAAAGCTGTGCCGTCGATAGCTCAGTTGGTAGAGCGGAGGACTGTAGAGTCGCAGCTATCCTTAGGTCGCTGGTTCGAATCCGGCTCGACGGATTGCTTTTGCAGACCACATACTTCATAGTGAAAGTTTGTGAAGAGCAAGAACAGTAGTGAGAACATTGATTTCGCACTTGAAACGATTTTCAGGATCGATGAACGAGTAAAAGCTGTGCCGTCGATAGCTCAGTTGGTAGAGCGGAGGACTGTAGAGTCGCAGCTATCCTTAGGTCGCTGGGTCGAATCCGACTCGACGTTTGTGGCGAAATTTCATGAAGGGCAAGAATAAAGGTGGAGAATATTAGTTTCACACTCGAAGCGATTCTGAGAATTGATAAATGAGTATAAGCTGCTGGATATACAGCCTACTGCATGAGGAAGGCGCAATACCTTCGAGTCTGAACTGTTTTGAAGGCAGTGTCCGGGCAAAAGCTCGATTTTGAGAGTTTGTGCTTATACAGGCCTATTCGCCATGCTAAATCCGGAAATTCACACTGGAAAGCTCGAAAACGGCAAAAAAAGGTCCCAGCGCAGGAGAGACAGCAAGTGGGGGGGGGGGGGTCCTCCAATTGCCAATTCACGCTCCCAGCTTCCGTAGCAGTTTTCTCGATTCCGCTAGCCGTCATAACATCGCTGTCGGCCAAGTGCGACTGATTGACTTAGAACCGGAAGCGAGAAGATCGCTCCGGAAGCTGGGAGCGTGAATTCACAATGTGGAGGACCCCGCCCGCCTGCTCGTTTCCCTAATGTGTTAGAGCCATTTTTCGCCGTTTTTGCGCTCTCCAATGTGCATTTTCGGATACAGCGTAGCGAATAGGCCCGGGTAAGTACAAAATCTCAGAATCGAGTTTTTGCCCGGACACTGCCTTTAAAGGCAGTGTCCGGGCAAAATGGGGGTTCTGAGATTTCTCTGCCATGTGAAAGTAGCCCCCCTGAGACACAACATCGCGCAACTGCGAGCATAAAACGTTCGACCTAAAGCAAGAAAAACGATTGCAAATTGGGGAAACTTACGCCTTGGGGCGGGGTCCTCCGAGTTGCTTGAATTCCTGCCAGACGGCAGAGTACGTATGCCGCCACAGTTAAAAACCGTGCGCTCTTTGCAACCTCTGCGTCTTAGCCTGGCGGGGATCCCCAAATTTCGAAATGTGAGGACTTGGAAAATGCATGTTCTCGCCGTTTTCGCGCCTTCTGATGTGGATTTTCGGATTCAGCGTTGCGGATAACCCCAGATAAGTTGATTTTTTAGAAGTCGAGTTTCTGCCCGGACACTGCCTTTAAGTGCTTGTTTTAGCCGCAGCGCGCATGAGGCGCAAAGTTTACAGTTGTGAAAAGATGCGCGCGCCGAGTTAGCACCCACTCAACTTGTACTGCTTCTGCGCCCTTGTCATGCAGTAGTCTTTAAATACATGGTGGATTATTAACACGATTATCCGAAAAAGTATAACCCCGCGTTTTTTCATATAGTACTTCTACAAGTAATATTTTCAAAATGTATTTCAAACATGTCATATGGTGGTTATTTGGTTTTGAGCCAACCATTTGTTTACAATGCATTCATATCCCGCGCTCTTGTAACAAGACACTTTAGAGCATGCACTCGCATACTAAAGTGTTCTTTAATCATTTTGGTGCTCTCATGATTACATTATAAGGGTACAATTACTTTGCTTCAATAGGATTGGAAGCGGGAAAAGGATCGCTCGCACCCGCGATGCAGTCTGCGTCCCTCTCGCGGGCCTGCTCCTGATCATTCCCTAGCCTTGATTAGGCCTCGAAGCCCCACCCTTCCAGCCACCGATCCTGTTAGATCAAAGGGTACTTTATAGTATCTTTGATACATAAAGTACTTATACTCATACTTATACTCTTCGCTACTCATCCTTAAAAAGCTTACGAAGAAAATACGAAAACAGAGATTTCATTTGGTACAACGGACAAATTTTTATTGGATCCTCAAGCAGCAGTGATGATTTGCAGGAATGCAGTTTCCGCAGATGCATAAAAAACCGTCTCGTTTGAAAGAGACTAAACCATGTCATATAGGCACAACCAAATGAGCATTCGAATTGAGGTGAGGAAGGTAGAAACACAGAGGTAGACTAAACATTAAACCCGTATGAATTGTTGAATAACTTAATAAAATTCAAATGCACAGATGTTTGAAACAAGTCAGCCGTGACCCTTCTCCTCTTGCATCAGTTATTCAGCTGACTCACGACGAACATCTTGAACATCTATAAGATCCAGAACATTCTGTCATGGTGTCACACGTCCTTGGCGCAGACCGCTCGCAGCTCGTCAATCATCTCCTGTGACACTCGTTCCGATTTCGCTGACTGAAGTGAGGAGTGATATACAGTACCCACACTAATTATTCGACAGAAAACGCAAAAACTGACGATCCGCGTTTTTTTCGTTTTTTCTTCATAACTTCCTTCAAATTGCATAAAATACAAATCCGAAGAAAGCATGATGCTTAGCTCATCAAGATGAATCTTCTGATATACTGCACTCTCGTACTATTCTGTTTTCAATCTGCTCGATTTTTGTGTGAGGACGGGTATTCGTAGTGGTGTAACTCAGCGAAGAACACACATGGACGATTCATGTAAACATGGTTCAGTAGTGCTGTCCCCGTAGATTATCATGTACTAGTGAGTAGCGAACGATTTCCTTTCTATAGGGAAAGATAGGCCGTTTAATTTTAAAAAAATTGATGTCTCTCAAATTTTCGCTACCGTAACCATACAGTAAGACGCTAATTTGCAAAGCAGGTGTGTTTTTCGTGATCAGCAGGTTAGATAACCTCTATGCGCAAGTTTTCCAGGGAATTCAGAACCTTTCATTTTTTCTCGTTCTGGGCTGCGAAGCTCGCCGACAGGTTTTGGCTAAAATATTGATCATCTTGGATTGACCGGAAACTTCGCCCATAGAGGTTTTCGGACTTGCTGATTACGGAAATAGTGCCCTCTGTGCAGTATAAGGTCTTTTGGCAGAGTTATGCTGAGAGGAATGCTGCGATACTACGCAAGTTCCTAAGTTTGTCTGCCCTTTGCACGTGTCTGTTGGACAACTTACCTGCTCTTTTTTGTTATTTGAAATCATTAGAGGCAGTGCTCTTAGAGCATGCTTAAACTAAGCCCATACATGTATTCATCGCCGAACTGTGAGCTGACGAACTCACGTCCTCGTGAAAATCGTTCGAAATTTTAAGATCGTATATTTTGGCCAAATATCGCCGCGAATGGTCACAGATGACTCTGATTGTAGATATTATATTTATATACACATGCAAATTGATAATTTATGCCGCATACCGCTACTTACCCCTTGTGCCAACTCTTACACCTGTAACTCAAAGTTTGCAAAAAATCGGTACGCCGATATCGACCGATGACGAAATGTAATCAATCAGACCAGCTCGGCTCCTAAGACTGGGTTCATACTGATTCCCATGTTCCGGAAATGTTCCCGCACAGTCCCGCAATGTTCCCGCACTGTGCTGGGAACTGTGAGGGAACTGCAACTGTGCTGCATGCGCTGCAGCCGCCCCGCACGCGTTTTGAACGGCGGTAGTTGGAGAATTTTGACCGTTTTCAGCGGTTTTTCTTCCAGATTTCTCTCATTTTGGCCTTACTCCTTTACCCCGCTTCTCTTAATCAGCAGAACTTCGAGCTCGAAGCGGGGTTGAAGAAGAGCGCTTTTCGCCATGAATTAGGGAGTAGGAGCAATTCTGAAGTTGCATAAATTGGGACTTTTCTCTTGTATTCTGATGAGTTTACTTTTTGGCCATTCTCAGCCCCTTTCCTTGTTATGAGAAAAGCTGTGAAATTAGAGCGAGTTAAAGAAATAGCCTTATTCTGTTCCATATCCGGGCAGATTGCTCTTTTTGCGCTTGTCCATTTTCTTCCATTTTTGCCCAGGCCTACTTCATGTGTTCTAGAAGGCGCTGCGTAGTCTCGCATCTGTATTGAAAGGGACATGGACAGGTCTCTAGAACACATGAAGTAGGCCTGAACCAAAATGGCAGAGAAGATGGACGAGAGCAAGAAGGTTCATCTTCCCGGATACATGATGAGAATCTCGTTCAATCCTCAACTCCGCTTCAAGTTCACAGTTTTTCTCATCATAAGGAGAAGCGGGATAGAAGAAAGAAAGGAGAAGCAACGATATGGAAAAAGGAAAGGGGCGGAGAATGCCCAAAAACGAAACTCATCAAAACAAGAGAGAAGTCTCAATTCATGCAATTTCAGAATTGCTCCTACTCCCTAATTTATAGCGGACTAGCTGGCAAACCCGGCTCCGCCCGGCCCTGTCAACAATATATTTGTAATCAGCATGCTCGATTACCCCCCTGTGCCAACTTCCAGCCCCGTAGCTCAAATTTTGCAAAAAATCGATAAAATCGATATCGATCGATAACGAAAGTAGCCTATGACACCCGCACCGCCCCGAAGTGTATGTGTGCAAAGTTTGGTCCCGATCGGTCCAGAAATAAAAATTTCTATTCGGAACATACGTACGTACAGACATACATACATACAAACAGACATTCAGCTTTATATATAAGATGGCCTTGGAAACCACGCAGGGACTTCCTGGAACAATTGGAATAAGTCTGTGTAAAAATAAAGCGAAGAGAAAATGGACGAGCGCAAGAATACACATTTTGTCGCATACGCAAAACAGAAAAGCGCTCACTCTTCAACCCCGCTTCGAGCTCAAAGTTCTGCTGATCAAAAAGAAAGGAGCGGGGTAGAGGAATAAGGCCAAAATGAGAGAAATCTGGAAGAAAAACCGTTGAAAACGGTCAAAATTCTCCAACTCCCACCGTTCAAAACGCGGCGGGGCGGCTGCAGCGCATGCAGCACAGTTGCAGTTCCCGCACAGTTCCCAGCACAGTGCGGGAACATTGCGGGACTGTGCGGGAACATTTCCGAAACATGGGAATCAGTACGAACCCAGTCTTAGGAGCCGAGCTGGTCTGATGATTACATTTCGTCATCGGTCGATATCGGCGTACCGATTTTTTGCAAACTTTGAGTTACAGGTGTAAGAGTTGGCACAAGGGGTAAGTATCGGTATGCGGCATAAATTATCAATTTGCATGTGTATATAAATATAATATCTACAATCAGAGTCATCTGTGACCATTCGCGGCGATATTTGGCCAAAATATACGATCTTAAAATTTCGAACGATTTTCACGAGGACGTGAGTTCGTCAGCTCACAGTTCGGCGATGAATACATGTATGGGCTTAGTTTAAGCATGCTCTAAGAGCACTGCCTCTAATGATTTCAAATAACAAAAAAGAGCAGGTAAGTTGTCCAACAGACACGTGCAAAGGGCAGACAAACTTAGGAACTTGCGTAGTATCGCAGCATTCCTCTCAGCATAACTCTGCCAAAAGACCTTATACTGCACAGAGGGCACTATTTCCGTAATCAGCAAGTCCGAAAACCTCTATGGGCGAAGTTTCCGGTCAATCCAAGATGATCAATATTTTAGCCAAAACCTGTCGGCGAGCTTCGCAGCCCAGAACGAGAAAAAATGAAAGGTTCCGAATTCCCTGGAAAACTTGCGCATAGAGGTTATCTAACCTGCTGATCACGAAAAACACACCTGCTTTGCAAATTAGCGTCTTACTGTATGGTTACGGTAGCGAAAATTTGAGAGACATCAATTTTTTTAAAATTAAACGGCCTATCTTTCCCTATAGAAAGGAAATCGTTCGCTACTCACTAGTACATGATAATCTACGGGGACAGCACTACTGAACCATGTTTACATGAATCGTCCATGTGTGTTCTTCGCTGAGTTACACCACTACGAATACCCGTCCTCACACAAAAATCGAGCAGATTGAAAACAGAATAGTACGAGAGTGCAGTATATCAGAAGATTCATCTTGATGAGCTAAGCATCATGCTTTCTTCGGATTTGTATTTTATGCAATTTGAAGGAAGTTATGAAGAAAAAACGAAAAAAACGCGGATCGTCAGTTTTTGCGTTTTCTGTCGAATAATTAGTGTGGGTACTGTATATACGAAGAAAAACCGTTTTTAACAACTATGAGCAATCTAGGTGTTGCTTTCGCTTGTGCTTGAAAAAATGCAATATTATGTTGTCGGAAGAAAAACCCTTTCTATGTTCGACCAACTTCGAAGTTCCGATTTTGGCGAAAGCTGTGCGCTTTAAGAGATTTAAGCAAAATTCTGAAAGCAAGTCCTTCGTGCGGACAGTGCGGTTTTTTATTTTCTCACTATTCAAGATTTTTATGCTTGTTGCGCTTCCACATACAAACTGCCTCTTTGGTAAAAAAAAGAGTACTAAATGCTGGAAGAAAGTCGCTTGATGATTTTAAAATTCTCTCAGACAAAAACTTCCTGCTGTTTTCGGATGACATTACAATTGAGTGGTTTTTTATTCACTAATGGACTGAGAACTCCGCCTTTTGGCCGTTCTACCCTTTCCGGTGCTTTTAGGCTAATGAGGAGTGGGCGGGCGCATTCAAATAGGTGGAGCTTTCTCAGACATCGGAGAAAGTTTTTTTAAGTTCACCTTCTTTGCAGCCCTTGCTTTTGCCTTTTTGCCTAGAGAATTCTCAGAAAATTTCAATTGGTCCCCAATCGACAATATTATATGCTTAGAAAAGGATATTTTACTAGGTAAACAAGTAAACAAAGTTTGAGGAAACGATACGACGCTCAACTTCGCCTAATACATTTTCATGTATGTATGCTAGATATCGACAGAAATTGGATCGATGTCTCATAAGCAAAGGAAGGTATTATGTATAACACATACCCTATTTTCGTATAAGTAAAAAGGATTACATTGAATGCATAATCACAGCGTATTTTCAAATTAAAACTGTGTTTTACCTCTATTAGCTGGTGACAGTATAAAGCTGCATCTGATCGCCCAACTTTTTGAAACTCCAAAATTAGTTGGTCGAGTGAGCGCACTGCGCCAATCCGCTTCTGGTTCGCGCGGATCAGGGACAGTGTAATCCGGAATAGCCACACATCGTTTCCGTCATAAATCATGCAGTCCCAAATGCGTAACACCGTCTGAAGATATAGGTGACAATATCTGTGCAATTCCACTGAAACAAAAAATTTATGGAAAAAAGTATAAGAACGTTGACGGCCAGATAGCAAGTAGTAAAGCATAAGACAAATCGAGCTTTTGAATTCCGTGCAAATCTAGGATCAATAAGCAGTATATAAGCCCGAAACTCACCACCGCGGAATGATAAGCAATTTTTTCAATGTTCTAATAGATCCTCCCAAGTTACTGTCCAATCAAATTTTGCTTTTATTTTTTTTTATTTTTGAATTGGATAGTCGATAAAGAAAACAAGCTCTACAGGCCGTCACCTGACATCCACTCAAATCGTAAGCGGACTCCGATGAACCTACAAAATGCCTTGGGTGATCGTAATTTAGTAGACATCTGCGTTTTATTTTTCCACGGCAAAAAGTGAGGGATCAAGAATATATGGATGTACAAAATATTCTGCTTTTGGGTTCTCATGCTAGATTCAGTACTTGTCGAAAAGTAAGGCACATACAATGGTCTAATTCATATTTATACTTTCAAAAATCTGGGCGTACAAACATATAAATATATGTGAGAAGCCTCAAATTATACTTGGATTACCCGCCTATCTATTTTCCTTATTTCTAACCACCAAAAAACTTGCTGTGTGAATATTTGAAAGTGTAATGTACCATTGAGATTTTTGTATGTTCCAAAATTAAGATACAATTGACGTAATTCAATAATTTCATTTTAGGCCTCAAACGTAATTTTGTCGCGTTTACTTAGCTAGCGATTACCTTGTAAGCTTGGTTGCTTTGAACAGCGAAATCAGCTACATACAAAAAAAAAAGATTTGCTTGACATGGGCACAAATTATGGAATCTACTTCGGATAAGCTAAAAAAATTTTTCTGAAGCATACACACTCAAAAAAGAAGTCTCGTGTAATTCCTCCTTCCCCCGCTTCCCATCAACGGTGCAGCTGCACCTTTTTGAGAAATGAATATTACTTTTCTAAACTTCCAGGCTGCCATGCTATGTAGCATCAGATTTTTGTATGATGAGTATCAACAACAGTCCTAGGAAAAAAAAGGTTTAGGTTATCGAATTTACGCTGCAATAGGTGTAGAGAACTGTCCGCGTTTAGCACACAAATGATTATTTAGCACGGGTAAGCTAAGCTAGGGTGGAAGGGGCCAAGCGGCTTTTGATGAATCATCAACAAAGGATTTCGAGAATAGCGGAAGCTGTGGATTGCTTCCAACTAATTTTTCAGTCATAGGACCAAAAAAGGCTTATGCGATCATAATGATGATGAACAAAATGATTATATCTTCTTGGAGAGAAAAGACATGGCACAATTAAGCTCCATTAACATGTTTTCTTTTATGATGGTAATTTACAGCACCACCACTGTGCTGAAATGCAAGAATTCATGGCAAGTTTTCTACGATATGAGCTCGACCTCTACTCGCTGTATGTTCATTTGCAGATGTAAAACATCGTTTAGCCCTTCTCAGACACATTGGGCACGATGCCTTTATTGTATAGCGTAGTAAAAAATGATGTCCCCATTGATGGCTGTTGTTGATACTCATCACATAAATCTGATGCTACATAGCGTGGCAGCCCGGAAGCTCCAAAAACTTCGAGAAGATCTTCTTGTAAAGCTCGGCTAAACTTTATAGTTCAATATACGTTAGCACAATGGGGCCGAGAGAAAATGGGCGAAGAACATCATCAAACGTCCAATTACATTAAACTTAAATATTTCGCTTTTACCAAGGATATTTTGCGACGTTTGCTATAAAGGCTTACATTACAGAAAGCATATAGGGTGTTGTAGAATTCTATCAATGACTCTTGTCATTCCGTATGGCTTCTATCAATGAAATCTGATTGAAAAAAAAACTGTCGTATCGTATTAACTCACCTCTAAAGGCAAGCATTCCACAAACCAGCATAGCAGCCATTTACCAATTACCAAATCTAGCCCAACGTCTAGTTCTCGAAACACTGATGCTACTTGCGGACACTCCTTGCTGAAATTTATTGAGTAGTCATTATGGTACAAAACATATCATTGAGAGGAAAGGAGCAAGGAAAAGCATATTCGAAGATATCCATGGCAGAATTTTTTGCGTAAGTGTAGACAGTATCCGCAGAAGGGGTATCATAGCCTCACTTTCTATATCGGTTGTTGATTCTTACTGAAGCGAAAATCCCCAGTTTATAGTTTGATGAAGAATGGCTGGGAATTCACTATTCTATCTCACATTCTGTCTAATTCACACAGTCGTGGAGGTAGCGTAAAGTTCAAGTGACGACTTTGGTGGAAATTTTGGAGACACTCACTTGGAGTGAACCCGCAACATACACAATTTCAAAAATTAAGAGGCAAAAGCAATTTATTTGCTTGAACTTTTTTTTCAATATTAAGTTTTTCGTACTTCTAGTTGTAAGCGGAAATCTGTTAGGTACAAAACTTCATTCTCTCTGAATACATCTACCAACGCGGAGAAACTTGTACAGGCAAGCCTCTTGTACCAAAACTTCCTTAGTAAACACGAAGTCATATAAAAGCAGACCTTCAAGAGAGTCATGTAGTAGGGATTAATCAAGCATCCATGACTTTTAGACAATCATCGATTAAAAGCGACAAAAGGTCTTGCTAGACAGTTGTTTTCTCTAATGCATACCATCAAAATGAATCAAATGGATGTGAATCTCACGAGGTTCCGGCATGCACAGGTTCGGACATCTCCACCAGAGTCGTCATTTGAAACTTATAAGGGAAGCATATTTAGTCGAAGTCGCCTTTTAGATGGGATGTGTAGCATATTGGAGGGCATGAAGCACTGATTCCAAATCTGCCTTTCTGGTCTGCGGAACATTCATGAACAAAAAGTTATGAGCGTCTACTGAAGCAAAATATTGAATGTGCGAGTAGGACAAAAATAGTCATAATATCTTTTCTAGCTCTTTAGTGAAGCAGTGATGATTATTGAAGCACTTTACCCAATAGATACTTTGAGAGAAAATCGCACTCGATTGCTTTATTTGACGGCTAGTGAGAATTTAGCGATTCATTTTATCGTAAATGCACATTTAATCTTTTGCTCTAATAAACGTTCATAACTCCTCGTCCACAAACTTTCTGCAAATAAGGATTGCAGGTTTTTAATCAGCATTTCATTTTCTTCAATATCATCACATCGAGAAGGCAATTTTTGACTAAACATGCTTTCTTTGTTAGCTCTACAGAAAAATAATGTGCCGTGACTCTTTTATTTCCTTAGATTTGAGCAAATGAGACAAAGAAGAACCACTACTCGGTATTTTTTGAAAACAGTTGGTTGCATATTTACTCTAGAATCTGCTTATTCGCAATTATTTTAGTGTTCTGTATCGGTTGCCGGCAACTCAATCTGCCCGCTAAACCGGTCTGGGTGCTGAGGGCAAAGAAAAAAATGACGAAAACTATACAAAAGTTGATTAAATACTTATACATACAAAAGTCTCACGCTATGCTTAGATAAAGGTATTTCGTGCATCTAAATAGCTTAATAATTCTGAAGAGCTGGTGATATTATTCAATGGTTCTAACCATAAGTTACTTTAGAATGAAAAAAACGAAAACGACTTAACACAAAGCTCTTCAACGGTGTTGTATTATGAAAAGCAATTTGCTTGAATTTGTGTCCATCTCCAAAGATAAGATGGTTTTTCTGTTAATTCATTTTCTTGCTATCCCCAGTCGATGAGGTTACAAGAATACTAGTAGAAGGCGATGTCAACGCGATGACTGCGATTACTTGAACGTGGGGGAGCCCATGATCAATTGCAATCGATTTAGTGACTGATTCTCTTGATCTGATAACCTAGAAGATGGATGTAGCTAATTTGGTTGGGATTATAATAGATGCGAATTAACCGGGATCTAAACTAGTTCTCTTACGCTCAATTGTTGCTACGACCTTCGCATTTCTTACAATAAGCGCAAAAGGAGACATATACAAGTACCCTGGATAGATTTTCAACAACTGGTATTTTTCAAATCGCAGTACTTTATAGAGATTTACTGAACAAATCTCAACGTCAGCCTCAACCTAAAAAGATGCTCATGAAAACTGATCTTGATAGTAGATACCTTTGCAATACACTATTCCTGCTTGCAAAGATAGTTTCCATAGTTTTCATAAAAAATGTAGGTAAAAATGACAGTACCTGGGAATACTATATAGCAAAAACCACCTTCTCAAACGTGATGTTGTCGAATGCTATGAACTGGTTCAAGCAGTGGTTGAGAGCTAAGGTTTTGACATATTTGACTAGAGGACGAAACAACCGTGAGATAAAAAAAATTTTTTGCTCATATTTTGGAACGTCGACACCATATTTCCGATATATGAGTTTTCGATAAAAATCCTGTTTGAAAAAATTTATATACACTATCCTCTCTGCTGCGATTACATATCAGAGAGTTGCTTTGCAAAACTCAGGAAATTGAGTAAAAACTACGAATAACAACTATTCTTAGAGAGACAACATAATTTTTTTTCAATCTAGAAAGAGTAGTTGATGAAATAACAAAAATAAATTTGTCCATTGTACCATTTCATCATTTTCAGAAGCCGAGTTCTAAAAAGTGCAACTTGATTGTCGCCCAAATGCGGGTAATGTGGTTTCTCCACGCACAACTAAAAAGCGAAGTATTTTCAGCTTTGTATTAGGTTGGCTGATAAATAAATTCGGTCGCTTTTGCGGCACCTACAGATGCCGCGGACAATTTTTTGGCCAGTATTCGTTACCCCTAGAAGGCACACCTCGAAGAAATTCAGAACATATCAGTTTGCGCAGAATTTTGCCATCAGATCCGCAAAATCTGCAGTAAGTAGTGAGACTTCCTTAATTTTGCGCAGATATAAGAAAATTTGGTTTTTCGATCAAAGAACTTTGAAATGGTAGATCAAGCTTTTTATTGTTATTTGCCAAGTAGGCAAAACTTGTCTGTATCTGAATACGAAACTGCTGTTCTCTACATCCACTAGAGCATGAAAACGAAGCTTAGAGAGTCGCAGAATTGAATTTTGGAATTTTAGCCATGCTCGGGCAAAGCTATCCCTTATTGATGAATGAAATTTCTTATGTAGAAGAAACTTTTATACTTATCTACGAAAATTCTTGGATAAAGAACATTAGAAAACTTTTTATAATCATTTTCATGCCAAAACGAAATTAATTTTTCAGGCAACCTAACAACATTTCGCCACTAATGATTAGCAACTGGAAGCTAGCAGTTCACATAATGTAAGTCTCGCATATTTTATGTCATACTATTAATGTGACTGCCATAATCACTTTTTTTCCATATATTAGAACGATTAAGCTCCAACAACATTTTTACCCTATTTTCATTCTGACACTTTTATGAGTGTAAATATGTCCTGAGAGGTAGAAAAAATTGATATAATCTTAGATACGCCACAATAAGTGTCGAAGTCTGTTTCGTTATCTATGGGGGCTAAGGTCCAGATTAAACAGTATTCGGCTCGCCTATGCCACTTTTGTACAGCTAATGAATTGAGAAGATTTTTTTGTTTGCAGCATCGCACGTTGCATTTTGTTTTAGCCATAAAACGAATGTTTAGCCAACATTACAAAAAGTAGATTGTTTGGAAGATATGATTGCGAGTTTTTGTCAGCCCAAGTAACCATTAATCATTTCGTCACAACAGAGTGCAACGAGTCTTTGCCTAGTTCAAAAAATCGTTCGAAAAAGAACTTTATCGCCGCTCTGTTCACTGATAAAAAGTCTTTTTCGACCACGAAGCACGTCATAGTGATGTTCAACCCTCTGTTCAATAACACTCGATAGCCGTGTGAAACTGAAAGCATCCCCATAAATACATGATTTTGGCTGTGCGCGTTGTTTGCACAGTGAGATGTAAAAGTTTCGAGTAGTCGCGAGCACCTTTTCGTACCGGGACGTGCCCGATCCGGTTCGCGACCGACTTACAAACGCATCTCGCAGCTGGAGAATTTGACACCGAGAACGAAAAGGCGATGAAGGACTCACGCAAGAATTTCTTGCAAGACTCTCGTGTCTCGACGCAGGCCCGACATCGTGTGGCCGTAATAATCCTCGCGTTTCTTGACCATCTGGATGAGCAGATCGGCCGCCTGTGATTCATCTCTCACAACTAGCAAAATTACTGCGGCTACGAAGTTTAAACCCTGAAAAAAGTTTTTCTCTCGGAAAGTAGCTGTGATTCATTTCCGACCTATATATTAGGTTGTTGCAAAGGTTTTTGCGTAACAAAAGAAAAATTCGAAATCTAAATCGACACCCAACTTCTAATTTCGTGATCGAAAATTAGAACTTTGCGCCTTACAGTACTAATTCCAAAAACACTTTTTGTGGGCTAGCCTCGGAAAACCAAGTTTTCAGAATAATGCTTACTTCGTGATCTGAATTTGAGCAAAAATAAGCCTCTAATTGGTCCCAAAATTGCAAAAATTTCTTACCAAGTATTATTCCCATATAAATACAGAAACAAGTGCGTGGAAAACTTTATATTGCAGAAAAAACTTTCTTATCATCACGTTTTCTTCATAAACAGACCTCGAGATCAAATTTTTGACCATTTTCTTATCTAAAGCGCTGTGGTGAATTTATCGGCATCAAACAGTGTTTTTGCTGGAAAAGTGCATTAGAAAGGAAACTTTCAATAAAACGGCATTTTTCGGATTCTTTGTCATTTCCATTTCAGTCTAAAGCCTGCCACAACCTGTACATCTGCTGCGCAAGAAATAATTACAGAATTTTTCGCCTATCTAGCGTCACTCTATCATTTTATACAATTAAAACCACAGTTGGTATCACAAAACTTGAAGTGCCGTTTATTGAGCTTGGTTCTCCGAGGATCGCCGAAGGAAAGTCTCTTTCATAACTAGGAAAGTGATCTTTTTCGTTTTCATTTAAAAAATCACGAATTTCGAAAAAATACCATTTTTTGAAATACCCAAGAACTTTTGCGTTAATCTAATAGTTCAAACTCTTTCTTAGGGACCACAATGCTAATTTTTCCCACTTCTTCCATTGTTAGCCCAACGACTGTGTGAGCAAATGAATGCAGCGCCTTCACGATGTGTTGCCGGCCTGTTGTGTTTGCGCGCGAGTGACGCTACGCAAATATGCACAAAAAAGATCGTTTCATGCTAAGAACACTTCAGCAAACCGCTGCTACAGAGGCGCCCAGCTAAAGTGGACCGTTGTTTTCGATGTAAATGAATTAGCTAAGTTGGCACATGTGACTATAAACTGACATTAGCAGTAATCGCACAGCACCGAGCAGGTTATAAACCGATTTGCTTATCAATTGAGCGGGCTAGAATTTGGCAGTTGTGCAATAAAGCAGCGAGCTTGGGTGGTAAAAAGTGCTACATCTGGTGTTTGACAGTTTTTTTCGGTAACGATCACATGATATTCTTATCAGAATTTTTAGTGTGACCATTGCGATTCAAAAACTTCTCGAATAGTTAAAATTGGCTGAAGGGCTGTAAATTCTGGAAAGTTATGAAACCAACATCGGTCAGAATCGTTATTTCACTATTTTAGAATGAGTCACCGTTGGCGCTCCCTCTACTAAAGTCAACATTATTATTTACTTGTATTACGAAAGCTCTCGCATTGAACAAACTTGTCGGCATCACTTTTTTGTGTGTATTTGCCAAGCTTTTTTATTTAAAGCAGTTATGTAGCAGACAGAAGTTTTTGATTGAAAAAAGCTTAACTTTTTAAGCTTAAGACTCCGCAGTAGTCAATAGAATCAATGAAGATCATAATTGGTTGAATCTTCACAGAAAAGGAGTTTTTTCATTTGATATTCCTCATTAGGTCCTCGGCATACCTCGCGAGATTTATTCGTCATACAATTTGCCAATAATCCAAGGATCACCATAAGTGCAGTTTGGTATAATAACGGAGAATATGAACATTTCACAATTTGAAGTCTAGCAGTGCTGGATCCGAAATATGGCGAATTGCCAAATCGGGAAGCGACTGAATTACGCAGGTGAGCCCAAGTCGCAAGGGTATAAAGCGTATAAGTCTTGCCTTTTCAAAGTCCTTATGTTTTTTTTTCACAGTTTTCATTTGCATCATGATTTCGTTGGCTTTTAGGGCTGTTTTTTGATTTTTTTTATTACTTTTTATGCTTGAAATTGAAAAAAGGAATCATCCATCATCTGAAGTGACTGCAATTTTGGAGTGATCGTGTTTTTAGTATTTCTTAGCGCTGAGTATAGAAGCCTAAACCTTCCCACCTGACAGTATCCTACAGATGGCACGTGTTGCGCGAGGCAGTACAGTACCCTTCCAAGCGCCTTGCGATTTCTGAAAAACGCGCGCACCGATTACATTCAGAGTGCAGAGGCATTAAACTTGATGCTTGTTATCTCGTCGTTCGTCACACAGCGGCCGCGGCGGCCGCGGTGGCGGCGGCGGTGGCGGTCACGCAGACCAAAACAGAAGGCCACTTGTCCGTAATCGCGGCCCGCTTTGATGTGACAACCACCGATTGCAAACAAAAACGACGCGACGTCTATGGGACGATGACGCACCCACAAAGCAACACAGAAACTAGCACTACGAGTTGCCATACCGTTCGGTCTGCAGGAAGTGATTGTTCGGGAACGTTCTCGGCAGGTCGAGTTTGATCGCTTCTACCGTGCTGGCTGGTACCGTAGCCTCCACTGGCTGCCCTCGAGGCGCGATATTTCGCATCCATATCTAAAGAGAATTCATAAGCTCTTAGCTTCGTTAGCCTGTTTTTGAGCGAGAAAAAAGTAATAAGTTGGCTATAAGAACGCTCAGCCACCCCCTCCCTCATTATCTTGTGAAAGGGTCGCGAATTTTTTTGAGTGTTTTACACAGGTTACGAAATCATTCAAGCAAATTTTTTGGCAATAACAAAATTTTAAGAAGCACAAAACGCAAATTTATCAATTCAAAATTTCTTTGGAATATGCTTGGTAAAAATTCTGAGAACATCATCAAAGAAATTCAAACAGCAAACATTGTAGATGTATTCATTCTTCTTCTTTTCCAAAATTCCTGTTTTCTACCCCACCCCTCCCTTCACCCCAGCCCCTCCCTTTTCCCCCACGACAAAAGGTTGAGGAATTGTCGACAAAGTTGACTTGTGTTGTCAAATCGTCTAAGCCTTTCATATGATAATAATCAGAATAATTTTAGTCCATAGTCCATATTTGTTTTGTAAAAGATTTTCGGGAGACATATCTTGACAAATATAATACAATGGTCTACAATGATCCCGAGAGGATTTGTGAAATATCCGCAGGTGCTTTATCCAGAATAATTTCTTGCTCTCCCTCCACTCGTCGAAAGAAATTTTCGATGAAATACGGGATGTATGTTTTCAAATTCACCAGATAACTAAATCACTCACGAAATCTAATCTGATTTTGATACATTGGTCCCTCAAACAAAACCATTTCAAATACTTTCGAACGGGCAATCTTCCCGTTCAAATGATAAATGAGCTTACAGCGTTTTTCTTCCGAATGTCGCACACCATCATAAATCGAACATTCTCACGACACACATCAATTTCCTCGTCTTTTCATAGATGGACTGGACTGCTATTCTCCATATAAAAGTCATAAAACTGCTCCCTCTTAGACTAAAATTGCTGACGATGAGGAATTGGGCTAGCGATAAAAGAGGGATATTTAAAAGAAACTGCAATTACTAGTCTTCTGGAAAAGTGAGGAAGACTTTCAAAGAAATGAAACAACTTCCCTTCCTATGAACAATTTTACAGATCATTTTATAGAAGTATTGCATATGATGCATAGTTTAAAGAATTCCATTTTGTAGAAGTGTAAACCCCAAGAAATTTGTATTACAAAGCTTAGATATTTACAATTCATAAATTATCTTGATTATTAGTATAGAAAATGCAGTTACTATACTTTCGGCAATAGCGTGAAAAACTTATGGCAAAAATAGCACAGCTTACACCTATAAAGAATACAAATTTGATTTTTCAAGATATATTTTAGTTTCAAGACTTGTTTTAATGGAAGTCCCAAAAAATTCGTTTAACAAGGCTGATCGGAATTTTCAGAGCTTATAAAAAATCTTCACTTGCATATCAAGCAGTGCTTTCCTTGTTCAGTAATTAAACGGATCTGAGTTGTAGAAAACTGCGACTTTTTTCCTTAATGCATTATTGATAACTTCTCAGATTTTCTCAGATTTCCAAGCCTTTTTCTCCGTTACAAAGTGGATGTCCAAAACGAAGAATGATGTGTTGTTGTGACTTGTCTCCCTGGTCGCCGTTCGCATTCGCTGCGACGACGCATCCACTCATAAATCGCGGCGATTATCCCTCTAAGCAACGCTTTAAAATAGCGATAGGAGCGCGATCAGGTTTCGCAAATGCAGCGTGGCGATTGGAGACGTTTTGAGATAAACGAAAGCAAACGGCGCGTTTCCCGACTGATGTGATTAAGTGCTTCTTCCCAACGACCGCCCGCCGAAAGCGATTTATGTAACTTTTTGAAGCTATTAGGTTCGCTAAAAAAATTTTTGGGGTCATTGACTTTAACTTTCTTGATACAAATGATCTTAGCCAGATAACAACCAAACTGAGGAGTATTCTCGAAAAATAATAAATATCGAAAAGAATCATCAAATTTGTATGAAACTTGCTTTCAAAGCAGACATTCATTTTTTCGTCAACTTTACATAGTATGTGGTTCTTTAGACTTTCAAAATCAAATGCAAACCTTCAACTACAAAAATTTTGCCTGAATCAAGCAGAAAAAACTTTTCTGCGAACTGTGGACCAACTGACTAGACACTTTTTTCTATAGAAAAGTTGATCTAAAAAAAAAGAGATTCATTCGCCAAAAATAGACTTTGCTTTATCGTAACTAAAGTACGGTAAGCATGCTGTACATTACAAAGGGGCATCAAGCAAGGTTTCAAGTCATTCCTCCACCAAATAATAATTGGGCTGATCCATGAGCTTTGCGCCGGAAAAAAAGAATAATTCGTTTTGAAAATCTTTAAAAAATCTTCGAACCAGCCCGGCTCATTCGTCAGAAGTTTTATCACACCTTATTGCCTTAACGAAGCCTAGTTTCCCATCTAGGGCACTCCAAATTGTGTCCGCCTAATGAAGTGCCTTCTGGAGTAGTTGTTAGATGTTTACTCTGCCACTCTTAATCTAAATCTTGCTTCCTCTAAAATTTAATCTTTAATGGGGTCAGGTCAGCTAGCCTTACCGGCGGGCTCGTTGACACTCAAAAACGGGGCATCTTTGATTTTAGAGTGTGCAAGATTTATGTGATTGTTTTTGATCAAGTTACTTTCGTTCAACTTTACAAGCTGGGTCTAGAGCTTCGAGTTCTGTTTCATTCCGTATTTTCTTTTATCTTCTCTTGCAGCTGAGGACTGACTGGTCTCATTGTTTGTTTGGATCTTCTTTTATTTCTTTGCTCTGGTGCACCTCGAGTGTATTTATAAAATAAATAAAAAATAAAAAAAATAAAAACCTTCAGTTTTTAATGATCATATGACGAATGTTCTAATTTACTAAGCTTAGCTTATTAGAGATTTTACTCAACAAAGTTCATAGGTTACAATTCGAATATTTTTATCAGTTTATATCTTCGCGACACGGCAATATAAATTCTTGCGCAAATAACAAACAAAAAATGCATATTTGTTTTCAAGCTAGATTGATTTTCTGTTTCCAAACTACAACTCAAACTTATTTATCAAAACTAGAAAGATTGTGAATTTCTGGAAATTTCGGTACGAGACTCTGGACCAACCCATTAATTTCATTTCATGTATATAACTCAGCACACCGTAAATGTTATCTAGCAAAGCTGCTTAGCACTAATTTTACGTCGAAAATAGAAAAGAAACTGTTAGTCGCAAAACTGTACTCTTTCGTCAAATGAACAACATTCTGCACAATAAAAAAAATTACAACTACCATTTTTCAAAACGTTATGTCATGGCCATTATCTGTAAATAGCACGAGTATGACAAACGCGAACGATCGTCAATCTTCATTTGTGAATGATTGATTGCCAGAAGGACACACACAGCGCCGCTACGAACGAGCACTTGTTTCTTGCATAATCTGCACTTTTGCCTTGAACTCTCGGATTATGGCGGCAAATGAAAGCAAACAGGAACGAGTGTGTGGAAAAACTGGAAAAGCTGCACATCGCTGTGATGTGGAGAGCGTGAAAAAGTGCTAATCTGCTTGACAAGAGGATTATGTAAAGGATACGACAGCAATCGAAGTATAATTATTTATCAGAGAGTGATAGCTGTGGAATGTACGCATAGCTAACGTTGGAATTTGTTCGATTTCGAGCACTTTACGGAGATGTCAAAGGTTTAGTTTGTTATTACTTATAGGTTTGGTCCATTACATGCAAAAATTCTCAGAAAATCGTAATCCCTTTGATGTCATTTAATCTAGTTATCTTCAAAGAGGGAGACACGAGGTTCTCACCTCAAAACAAGAACCATCAAGGTACCAACTAAGGTAAAGGCTCGTCTAATTATTTTGTTTTGTATTCCGGTGTTGGAAAACGTAAGGGTCCAGTAACTAATATTAGTTAGGTAATGACTCAACATACTCGTTCTGCAAAAGAGCCCTGATTTTATCTCTTCAGAAAGAGTTTATAAATCCAATTTTTCTACTTCAACCAGCTTAAGTAAGATGCAACATTTATGACCTTAATGAAAATCTATGTGCGTTGAATGTTCTCTATATTTTTTTCCTCAATTTTCATTTGATACAAATATGGAGCAATTAATATTGTCGGCAGAAAGTTCCGTTTCGAGTCTGGGTGTATTATGTCAGTTAGAATGGCCTTTGCTTTGAGTGACGTAAATCAAATCGACAAGCCCGTACTAAAGTTCTTCAGCTCAAATCTGCGAGTCTCATTTCGACCATAAAAAATTTAGAAATAATCTTTCGCGCTTCGGTGTGGCAAAATTCCTCTCTTTGAGTTTATGGTTGCTTTCAAAGTTTAATTCAAAAATCTTCTCTCACTTCATACATGGTGGCTCCATCTTGCATGTGATAGTTTTTCAAACTTAGAGTGTGACAGATAAAAATCGAAATTGGATATTCCAGTTGTGTTACCTAATAATTTGAACTTCACGGCTCCTTTAAAATCATGTTCGAATAATGCTTGGACAACTAGTTTTCGCTAGAATTCCGCTAATTTGGAAGAAGTATGCAACGGAGTGATTAGCAATAAAAGAACGCTCATAAGCCATAGCTATTTGCCGCACTCTTTAACCTCAGTGAAACCAGTTCGTCACACGCATCGATTCTCCCCCAAGTGTTCCATGGAAAATCACAACGGGGTGGCGGACACGGGGGGGGGGGTAAATATGCTTGTTTGCACAGTCTCGGTTTGCCGAAGTATCGGCGCTGATCACTTGAACCGCGACACCGAAGAGAGTAAAGAGGTCATCACACTCACATCTTTTCTGAATGGCGCCGGAATGCCTTTGTAGACGAACCGCTGCACTGAAAATGAATAAATTAGTCGTATTAGACCACAAGTAAGAAAATACTCATTTGATGTTTGTTTTTTATGGGAATCAAAAACATTGCACTGTCTTGGGAGCATCAATCATGTGTCAATCAGACTGATTTGCGCTCATCGTGACATAGTTTTTGGTTTTTTACTCGTGGCACTAGATAAAAGATTATTCAATTTGTTCATTACCACGTATCAGCTAACTCTTAAATCAAGGATTAGAAAAAGTGACTTACAACAATAAATTAGCGCAAACTGATTCAAGAAAAACTTTGAAGGTAATTTTTCATTTAAAGCTTACAAAAAACCAAGGAAGAAGAGAAAAATGCGTTTGAAGAATCCTCTGGATATAGTAAAGACTGCAACTAATTCTCGTAGAAACTTGCTGACAGATTTCTTCAAAGTCGTAGGCATTATCGCTCATGTGAACAAAATCGAATTAATTTTAAATTTTTTGTACCATTTTTGAGAGCTCTCAGAAAGCTAAATAAATAATCTAAGCTTTAGTAAATCCTTAAAAGCCTGCCAGCGGTTTTCATAGCGCAAAAATCAATAAAAGGATTTTGTATCCCCCTCTTTTTTTGAGAGATGGGAGATAATCATTTTTGAAAACCATTTTTTTCCTTGAACACCACAATGCATTATTAGGCTGCTCTCCTCATAACAAATAGAGTTTCAAGTCGCGCACAAAAAAGGGTCGATGAGAGATTTTAAATCTTTCTTTTAAAAAGAGATGAAATAATGAAAACGATATAATCATTTCAGAAACCATTTATTATTAGGCACGGCATAATGCGTTATTAAGCCGCCCCCTCATAACAAAGAGAGTTTATAATATTGGCTTGCAAGCCGTTAAGTGCACTTCAGTTCCTCAATCTTACTTATACACTTCGTTGAGTAGTCCCCCGAGTGGGGCAGGGCTGGTTACGCCATTCCGGCGGCGATGGCGCGCGATCCGCCCCCACTCCAATCTATCGCCTTATGCCGGCCGATAAGAAGAGCGACGAGTTTTTTTTTCTGCTGCTGAATAGGTAGTCACGAAAGGTGCGATGAGTTCGCCGCGAATGATGAGCGAGTGCGATGAGTGTAACTTTCATGGCAGCGATGGTTTCGAATAAGGAAACATGGGTTGATTTATTTGCTGACAAAAAAAATAAAAAGAAATGGAAAGCTCGTATATTCTATTTCCTAGGAATCTCCACGAACACTTTTTGCTAATTTCAAAGCAAATTTAGTTTTTAGAACCTGTAAGCCAACGTCCACTGCGGTATGTACACAAAAGATTTTCTTTTGCGGCGCTTATGGGAAAAAGCCAAATTAAAAAAACATACATGTATGCGGATGACGACGTGGATCAGCTTTTTCCCATCGTTTCCGTCGACGCATAATGACCGGAAAATAGTCAGTCCAAAATTTTGCGTAATCTTTTTTGGCTTGCTCCAATTCGCTATGTTCCTCCATGAATCGAGGATTTTCGCTATACCAAGGACACTCGAATCCTAGGTCGTCAACTCTCCTGTAAAAATTGCATTAGATGATTTCATGACGATAAGAAAAAAGTGTTTTTCAGATCGAGACGCGGAAAGGTGATGAGCTATTGATACCACAAGTTAAGATCGATGCTATGGAGAGACGATTGCATATTTGAGCAATCAAGGACAGCTGTAGCATATTCAAATCATTCACAACCTTGTCCGAGTCACCCATTGCGCGATACAAAAAACCTCCAAAATGTTAATAAGTTGGTTGAATTGAGATAAAATTGATGAAACTAACTCTCAAGATTTTTAACAGATCTAAAAATACGCAAGCTACACACGAAGTTCCGAAATTTACTTTTCTTTAAGTACTCAAAACAATAAGGTTTACAGACCATCCTCCCTCAAGCAGTCCCGGGGAAGGTCTGTAAAGTTTTCGCTTAGAGACAGGAACGAAACGGAATCCGGTAATTTTTCTACGAAAACTGAAAAAAGTTCATAATTACTATTCGATGTTATGTTTCTCCCGATGCTTGCGAAACAGGTAAATGATAAAAAGTCACTTAATATGCCTCGTTGCTGAGGAAATCCAGAATAAGACGCGCAATGTGTGCAATAACACATATTAAATAGTTCAGTTGTAGGAGTAATAAGAAACAAAAATCTAAAGTTGCTCTTGTACATTTTACGAGCGCTCGATCTCCAGTAAGCACGAGGACTGTTTCATTGTTCTATTGTTATGCAAATAACATGAGATTGACTCATAATGTGATTCCACTCAAAAAGTGCGTCTCTATTAGTCATGTACTAATAGAGTTACATATTTCAACAGCTCTATCGAAAAACATGGCTGCAAGCTCGTCTTCCAGCCCGTTCAATAACTATAAACAAACCCTTTTTGTGAACACCCGTTGTTACACATTCCTCTTAGCAGTGTTCCACATTTACAGCGAAACAAACGCAAGAGTCTGATTTACTCAGCTGTCCGTCTTATTCACGGGCAGACTTCCCCCCCCCCCGCCTCCCCCCTTCCCAAGTATACGGTAGAAGCCGACATTTTCTAAATGAACTCACTGGCCCGCCCCATTTCTCATGCGGGGCCGCCGCGACTCACTTTCGAATGCAATTACGCGCCGGATGGTCATTGTAGGTTTTCAGTGAGCAGCCGGCGATCTGCCGTCTCTGCGCTAGCACGCACTCTCTCGTCGGCCGGCCGGACGGCTCGTCAAACACTCTTCCGTCAGCGCTTTTGTCGCGCTAAAACATATGAGAGTGGAAAAACAACGAGCGAACTGCTATTACGTTGCTGCTTCAGATTTCATGTGCACCACTATCGTTACGCCAATTGCACTTTTGATAATTGGCGCAAAATTGGGGTGCAAGACGAGCGCTTAACTTTCAACCCAGAAATACCTAAATCCCAACGCTACTGCATTATGAACTCAAAATTTTGATTTCTGAAACTTCCAATTGGACTTATGGGTACAGTTCTGCGTGCTTATGCTCTCGTTTTCAACTTGAGGTCCCTTTAGTTTGCGTTTAGGTCAAAATCTCATAATTCGAAATCCTAGGAAGAGGGTGCTACAGACAAACAAAAATTTTTTCCAGACAATTCTCGAATTGTTGAACGCCACAAGTTACGGAGCAAGTCAGCACAAAGCTATAAAACAAACATTCGCTCTCTTGCGTCATGCCACCTCACTATGAACAACTCTCAACAATAGAATGGCTGCCCATTCATGGGCATCAAATCCGAAAGAATGAATGGCTCTGTTTTGGGCAAATGTTGAGGTAGAATTATTCAACTGTGGTCGTTTTCGTTTGCCTTTTCTTTGGAAAAACTCGGAAGAAAACTCGACAAAAACATAGGTAAAGGAAAGTAAACATCGGGATCCAAGGCTTCAAAGAAATTCTCGAGTTGGAGAATCAAACATCGAAGTTTTTGAAAAATTTTAGACAATTCTAAATAACTCAAAAAATAACGACGTAAATCTACCAGCTCCTCCTTCCCTACTGAATGGTTTTAAAGGAATTCCGCAGATGTTATTTACACAAAAGAGCAGAGAAAGAAAGGGGTTCATTTTTGTTGAGATTCTATTATTTTCATTTCTGCAAGTCATGAAATAAAACTTCCTTTTTATTTCCATTGTATTGATTTTCTCTATACTTATTTACACACCACATGAAGGTAGCTTCCCGACATGCTATAGAAATCAATTCAGTAGCATTTGCGTTTTATGCAACTAATTAAGCTCATAATTTTTCATAGGTGTTTCATCCAGCAAAGACATTTCGTAAGCGATGCTAACTGAATAAATATATGAATTATTGATACAGCTTTCGCCAAAACCAATGATAATCTTATGACAATATAACCCGGCGCAATGATTCAAGCTCGTGGATTTTTCTTTACCTGAAGGCTATATAGCATAAATTGAAAATTTTGATGGCTTGGCTTGATCGGGTAGTTTGTCACTTTTGCAATATCGAGAAGCAGGCTGAGTGGCTGCCATTTGTCGGTCCCCCATTGTGAAGTGAAGTGCGCGTAACATAACGAGATTGTGTTACAGACGCAGAGACGAGTCAGTGCACCTCGTTATTTATAGAGATACCTGCTCGGTTTGTAAACCTCCCCCCCCCCCATAAGTGGAAACCTCTGTGATCGTTCTGGTCCCTACGGTACCTTTACTGTACTTTGATCTTGCGCCTTCTTTCGTGCTCTCTCATAAAAAAGTGCATCAACAGCCAAACGACCCACAAACACCACGGCATGTGTGTATGTGGGGACAGCTGAGCTGCGCATCGAGATGTTGGGCTGATTGCGCTTCGATCTGCCCCCCCCCCCTTGCTCCATCCCTCTCCCCCCCCCCCCCTGCTCCGACGACGAGAATATGTGCCCCGGTCCCGGGTTTATGCATGTAATGGCGTTGCCGCACAAAAAACAACTTAATTTACGAGGTGCAGCGCAGCGGCGAAAGTGCACGCAACTGAAGGAGATGCACTTGCCAGATAAGCATTTCAACTGCCGCCCCGAAGAACAAAGCTTATCGAGCAATCAGATTCTCAGAAGAGATATAATTAATGAGGAAAAGAGAAAAAAATCAAATTATGGCCGCTATGTGACGTGCCAGGGCGCTTATGATACAAAGCAAATGATTTTGAGAGCATTGTAAGCATTTAAAAAGCTGCTTGTCCTTTTATGGATTATTCAGTAGGGGTATTTAAATAATCGGAAAATTATAAACATAAATTGTAGCATTAGTTGTAGTAATTCGAAGAAATGTGGAAGTAAAAACTATTGAAACAAATGCAAGACATGTAAGAAATAGTTTCAAGTATTTAAATTTCTCAAAGGAAGTGATTGTCAGAATATATCCCATTAAAGACCGAAATGAGTCCTGGTGATCAACGGCATCCTTCGGAAGATTTTATCTCATTGTTTCAATGTTTGTTATTTTCCTGAACCCTTGCGGATGAGTTGTTTTCAACAAACAACTTTTAACATCTGATTTCCTAGCTAACGTCAGGACCAGAAAAAGATCCGCCTAAGAGGCATGCAAATCGTCAGAAATTCATACTAAAAAAGTTCTGAAAATCATGATGTCGTCATTGGGTTAGTCATGTTATAAACGCTGAACGACTCAATGCGAGAGTTTCAAAAAAAATGTTGAACTACTTGTTTAAGACAATATTGCCGTTAAATGCTATTTTTTACACTTTGTCTTCTACCTATAAAAACCGAAAAAAATCCTGTCTATGTAAGCTTGACATGCAAGACTTCTGATAAGGTCATTGCCACAACACAAAATCTCATCATTTCTCATACAAAAGAAAAAACAAAGAGCACTCTTGTTATATTTCTTCTTTTTCTTTTCTAGATTTCTATGTCAAACTTTAAGCGGATTAAACTTTCACAGGGTGGTAAATGTATGCAAAATAAGCCGTATAAATCATGCAGAATTTATGCTGGCGAAAAATGAGAATGTGAAGGCATATGAAAACGTTCTACAATTTTTTTCCCCCAGCTTTCCTAGGAAACGATCACAAATAGTGCAAAAGTGGAACTACGTACTGGTGCAAAGTATGTAGTTCTTGCGATGTTTGATCAGTTACTAAACGCTCATATATTTCATATCGAAGCAAGTGTTTTGGTGATTCTGAACAGCTAGCTATGGTACCTACTAGTTTTTGAGTGGAAATCTACAAATCGTCCCCTTTGCTGCGCAGGACGCAGGATCATCTGCTTATCGCATGACCTTGCCAAAAGCGTTTTATCGCTGTTTTTTTCACAATGTGACGGCGACTGTCCCCATGTCAAGCCCGTGTAATTAGGGAAAAGCAAGACTCACCCGCCGGGAGGTCCAGTGTAGTGCCACGTTGCCATGTCGGTCGACGAACTGTGGGGCAGAGAAGCACAGTGGGTGACGGCGGTTGTGGGCCGTGTCTGGCGCCCTCTCGCGCCCCCGTAGTGCCTGTAGCCGGTGACACAATGAGGACAGCTATCACAACCCGCACATCATCCCGCTTGCCACCTCCGGCTCAACTGGCAGCAGCTCGAGGTCGCCACCTGATCTCTCTCGCTCGACTTCCTTTGTGGCCCCCCGCCAAATTTTCTCACCCGCATCGGAGGTACACGTGCACACGTTGTGTCAGTCGTGAATTGCTGTCTGCGTATATTCCGGGGGCAAAACCGGTCGGTCCCCCGCCAGGCCGTTGCCCAGTCATGCGTCTCACATATTTTACTAAGGCGCGCGCTCTATGGACGAGAGGGGCGGGCAGCTCAAAGACAGATGTTTGAGATGTGCTCTGTTGCAATCCGATGAGTAAACAAAAACACTAGCAAAGACCTTCCGATTGGAATGCGATCCTCCAGATCAAATCCAGTGCGGAGCTTCTGCTTTTGATTGCTTGCGAAATATTAAGTTCAATGCGTAACTCTTGAACCAAAAAAATTTCAAAAATCTGCTCTGAACATGTTTGGAAAAATTACTCATTTCATACAAATAAGGCTTGTAATGTATTATGGCTGTGTTTCTTAGAAATCTCAAAGAACTTATTTAAGACGAAAAAAAGCCGAACAAAAAACTGGAAAATCCTAACTATTCAAGCATTTGATCACACCACACATTTCTTCTTCTAAGGAACGGTACATCGTGGAACCAAGAGCAGAAGAACTTTAATTTATTCTGATTATCAAGGAATTCCATCACAGAATTTCAGTAAAAAAAAAATTGTGTGTTTATTTATCAGCTTGTATCGCCGCCATGTGCCGTAATCTTCTTTGTTTTCTAGGCACCAATGGCGGGGAGACGGTCAAGAAGGCGCGATTTTTCTAGCTGCCAACTTAAAACTTCAGTTTCTTGCTATGGGAGTGTTCAAAAAGTGCCGGACAAAGTCCATCGGCTTACTAGCTGTTTGAAGTAACCATTAGATAAGTTCGACGACTTTTGCTAGAAAACTGACCGAAATAATTACAAAATTGCTATAAACTGCATTTTCATGGGTTTTTGACCTTCAACAATTTTGTTTTGAATCGATTCAAAGATGATAAGATCGAAGAATTCCTGCAGTTCTCTAATATACTTCTTTTGAAATTTCAAATACTCTGGAACTTCATAAAACACTAAATATGTGCTATATGCTGCCCATCTGGCAATAGGAATCGCGCCTCTTGACATACACCCCCAATGGCGCTCACCGAGGTTAACTCCCCCCCCCCTTCCAAGAATAATTCTCCGAATTTTGTAAAGTTACTCATATGGATTATAAAAATGTGCAGACTTGTTTATAAGTTGAAGCAGTTTTTGCAAAAATTTTGAGATCCCAAAGCATTTTTCGGGTGCCTGACTAGCGCCACATTCTTCATTCAATTTCTGTTGCACCCTCCTCCTCCCCCCCCCCTCCCTCTTCCCTCCTCCACCCCCGACCGAAGATCCTGGAAGAGCCATTGATAGGCACCACAGAAAGCAATTATCTTTCTCTAGAACATATCGAAATGAACAGATTCGTCAAAAATGGATATTTTTCAAGAGCGTGAAAGTATTTTTGCAAGCCCTTTGTCTCAAAATCATCACCCTAAGTGCTTGTGCTTCCAGCCAATAACACATTTTTCTGCATCAATAAATTTTCGCTGACCCCTTGAAATTCTCGCTATCTGCTCATATGGACGGCGACAAGCAGCATTCAGCGCTAAGCGACGTAATTCGTCATTTAAGATGTTTATCAAATGGATTATTACCCACAGAATTTATGGCGACAGTCTTGATAATTTATAAAAGTACATATTAACTGACGCTTTTTTCATAGAATTCAACTCGATTTAGTAACTAGGACAACTGTGCAAGAAACTGCGACTCATTTTTCAATCTCCAGTGAGACAACATCAAACCGCGAGATCCACTCTGTATGTAAACATATACTAATACACACTTGGCCGACCCTCAACGGATGAAATTGAGCTGTAAACATTACACCCGAGTGCCCGATGACCTGTAATTGGCTCGGATCAATTCTCGTGTACTGACTGGAATTAGTGATGTGAAACGCATGTCTTTACATAATTCATCTTATTTTCTGCTTAGAAAATATTTTTCGCCTCTAATGTGCTCGAAATGCGGAAATGCAATAATATATGTGCTCGAGTCGCATAGGCAATTAGTCAGCTGTGCATCGTAATTCTGCTCCTGCGTCAGCTCGCGGAAAAAAAACCAAGTGCTTCCTGCCATCGCCTTTTTTCGGGGTTCCTTTGAAGGAACTCTCTTGTTCTAGAAAAGTCTAAATATTTGAATGGTTTCGAGAGGCCAATGAAAGCTGTAAAATGGTATGCTATTCGAGGACGACATGTAATGTGACGGGCAATTTGGTGGCTTTGTCAATGACGCGCTGCCTAGCCTTGCGCCCCGACCCGAAACGGGGCGAGGGTAATCTCCAGCTATAAGGGCCCCCTTCGCGGATAATTGCACCGCCGCAGCAAAGCAGTGAAACAGCGGAAACAACATCCGATTCGACGCGCGCGCGACGGGTATCTCTTTATTTGGTTAGTGCACTTCATTGAGGCGCCCCATGTGCGCAAACAAGTGGGACACAACCGCTGAATCGAATTCGGAGACTTCACCTTTTATGCATTGTATGGTTTTTGGAACCATTCCACAAATATCCAAAATTCCAAGCTTCGTATATCTGTCCATAGGGGGGGGGGGGGGTAGCGGAAATGCACTGAACTATAAACTCCATCATACCTTATCGGGTTGTTGACAAGTCTTGCACCAAAGAATTGGAATCAAAAATGTTTAGTTAATTTTTTCGAAGCACACAATTCAGGTTTTGTAACATATATCAAAAGTTGTTTGTCGTAATCGACAGAGATTTTTTTGGCTTACAGGTAAAAAGTTGAATCAAAAATTCGAGATCATAACTATTCGTAGAACATCCAACCGACACGTCCCAGATAGAAAAAACATGTTGAAAGCGAAACATAAATGGAAACTCAGTGAAAGCTTCAGTAAACGGAAGACAAAAAAGCCACATTTTGGGTGGTAATTCTCATCAGTTTGTATCAGCACGATATGGCAATATACATTTTTTCCTTCAAATACTTGCGGGAAATACGAATGTTCTTTATCTAATAAGCGAAGTTAAATTCGTCGAATTTTGTAAAGATAATGAGATCCTAATTTTTGATGCAAGACTTATGTATCAACCTAACACTTTATTAGCATTCTAAACAAAGACTTTGCTAAGAAATTTCAAAATTTTTACCCATTTTTAAGATGCTAAAGGCATCAGACTGCTGCCGTATAGAGAAAGAGAAAGTGAAATGTTCTGCAAGAAATTGCAGAAGAGGAAGCAAATGGAGAACCAGCCAAATTGGATGAAAAATGAAAAAATTGAGCATGTTTACAAATGTCTCAAGCTTGCTGATAATGTGTACATTTACTGCATCAAACACGCCAGTAGGTAAGCAATTTGAGTTTTTCAGGAGCTTCTGGTATTTACTAGAATTAGAATAGCATCAATAAAGGACTAACATTTTATTTTGAGATTCGAATATTTATGCGTTGGAAAATTCGTTTATTTCCTTTTTTGTAAACATGATGTTGTGTTCTGCCAAGAGATGTTCCGAAAAATGACACGAATTATCCGGTAACTTGACACCACAGTCGTCTGAATTTATTGAACTTCAAGATTGATGAAAACCCTAGTAATCAAGTGCGGTACTAGAGCCTTTTCTAAGTACTCATCATTTATTTGCGCTGGGATATACTTATATCACACAAGAACAATGACATGGAAAAGTGCATTCATGTTCATTGCGTATGCGAAGCTTTTTTTTAACGTAGTAGGATTAGACAGCATCCGGCGGTTCGTTTGTTAGTATTTTATACTATTTTAGTAGCATAATTTATGATAGTGCCAACCAATTTTTTTTCTGCTATAACTTGAGGAAAATCAAGAGATACTATTAATCCAATCAATCTTCTCAAATAGTGCGTTCTGTAAAAGAAGAATAGGACTTATTATTAGTGAATCAACGAATTACTGCCGTGGTGTTCACGTGATTTTCGTGACTTTCATGAAAACTCCAACCACATTAGAAATTGTAAAAAGTCTGGCATGCTACGGAAATGCCAGTACTACAACGATCCATCACCACCTGACAGATGTTCCATCCCTGGTTTACTAGGATCCGTGGTGCACACAAGAGCGCTGTCCCCCGAGTTTACTCAGCAAACAAATCGTCCTTGAGAAGGCGTAACCGTGTGGATTAAGTGTTCGAAGATACTTTTTCACGATTTCCCTCGCCTCGATGGAGAAAAGTCGTCTGCGCTTAATGCAGTGCTTAGAAAAATTAGCCCCCGTTTCAGTCCCCGTTCAAATTTGAAACAAACGCTTGAGCAAGCAATTAACTATGCGCGAAGAAGGTGGTCGCCCCCCGCGCCAGATCGCTATCTCCGGCGGCGGCGATTAGGCGGCGAATGAGCGGCGCGCGGCACGACGTGAACTTGTCCTCAGCTGCCGCCACTCTCGGTCGTGACGCACATCACGACGATCGCGTCTCATTAGCACATCATCTGTTGCCGGCCGCGACAACTGGCCAGCCGAGAGAATAACATAGTGCTGCAAAAAAATCGCGTGTCCGATTGTGCGCACTCTAATCGCATAAATCGTCGTTTTTTCCGCGGCTACCATCACCGCCGAACGTGACAGAATTGACAGATTGCGTTTTGTAAGTCAGCCGTTCTTTCGCTCGCAACACTCTATGAAATCAGCGGCAATAAAAAGCTGGTTCGAATGATAGGGAATAGAAAACATGAGCAGATTGATTCTTCGCTTCGCGCTTTCTTATGGACTTGCAAATAGTCTGAGAACTCAATCAGCAAAGTGCTTTCTAATCACATAAAATGCAATGATGATGGCAGATGTTTGAAATATGCGCCCGACTCAGCCATATTCCAGCCTCTTATAAACAGCGCCGATTGTTTTGCAAATCAGAAACACATCTATGATCATGATGTGGAGGTGTTTCTCCCCTCTCCTGA